AAATGCTTTTGAAGTGCTAGAACGCATAAAGCTGTGCATTAACAACGAGAAAGTAGAATTAGGCTAGATAACTCATTTTCGGTTGTCTCAGGCATGATGAACTGATTAATCCCCTTTTGTGCAGTAAATTTTCTGATTCTATTTTTCAATAACTTCCTACAGCAAAGAATTCCATCGCTAATAATCCATCAAGAAACTTCTTTGTAAGCTCTTCCCATATTCTTAGTGAGCATTTAATTTTCGTGATGACTTGTCGATAATTCCCAAAACAAGAAAAATACCATTTCCCTCTTCAATCTATGAAATGTTTCAGTGTAAAAATTACTTTGTAAGTGATGCCTATATCAATTAATCCAAAATTCTGTTAGCCCTTCTATGGCTTTATCTACATGCACGTGTACTTTTATGGATTATGCATTTGAATTTCTAAGTCTTCACCTCATCCATTTTTAAGGTCATTTCTTTGTTACTCTGATTCTTTGTTTTACTTTCTGTAATAGCTACTTTTTTTTATCTAAATGAATTGTACTTTGCACATTTCTATCCATTCCCCAAATCTACATCGTCTGTAGACATTTTAGAAAAAGTATACCGAAATTAAAATTGCATTGTGCCTTTCAAAGGGCAGTTTTTGCCCTAACCTTGATATGAAAGGGCCCTGTTGCACATAATGTTTGTTTGAGGGAGCTGACGGCATGATTGAGTTGGGTTTCAGGAGAAAATTCAGAGGTGGCCATGAAGGCAAATGAAATCTTTATTGGGGTAGTTAGAAGGCCAACCTCAGTTGTCTCAGACTTTGGTCCAGTTTCATAGAAGACTATTAGGTCTTTTTGCCTTCATCCCTCAACCCTTCACCCCTCCACCTCTACGCCCCATCCACACCAGCACACACCCCTATGTTACCTCCATGCAAACCCTTAAAAGTAATTTCAAACATTATTTAAAATGACTGGATTCACCCCATTTCTCCTACCAGCTAAAACTCTATTGGCTGGAAAAGGGTGGAACATTTCTAGGCTCGAATTGGTTCTGTAAAATCCAGTCTGTACTTTGCAGTCTTATGTCCTCTTTGTTGATTGTGAAATCCCCTAATATTCCTATCATTAGTAAGTTTCAAGGTTATGTTCCTAAGAACCAAGTCTAAATCATCGGTAAAAATCAAAAAAAGTAAATCCGGGAACACAAATTATCCCCAAATACATAACTTCTCATAATTATCTAATCTCAGCAACATCCAGTTATTCTAAATTTTTAGTTCTTGAACATCAAACAATTTTATATCTAGTTCTGAACACTCATAGTGGACTCAAAACGTTTACTCTATTTCTGTCTCTGAGATGCTGCCAGACCTGATGAGTTTCTCCAGCATTCTTTGTGTTTACTTCAGATTTCCAGCATCCACAGTATTTTACTTTTCTTCTATCCATACTGCGAGACTTCTTCACATACTACACTTATGTATTTTCTAATGAGCTCGTGAGGTTTCTTCTAGAATGCCTTCATAAAATCCATATGCATTTAATTACACTGTTTGATCATTGACTTCTCCAGAAACCAAATTCTGTTTATCAATGTTAGCTGACCTTGTCAACCCTATGCATTTCTAATACCAGGTTATTTCATCTCAAATTTGAGATTCCAAGAGTTTGTTCACAATTGATTGACTAGTTTATGTGCAGTTGCCAAGATTATCTTCATACTTTAACAAAAATGTTACATTCCAGGCTCTTTAAGAGAACATTCATTAAGGAACACTAGGAAATTGTAGACAAAGCCACTGTCACCACACTGAATTCTTTCAACAGGCTGAAGACATGCAATCAGTGCCAGGCAATATGTCCACATTAAATTATGCAGGAATAAGGAAATTTCAATGTTTTGTATTTTTAAAATAATCTTGTAACTTGTAAGTTACAAGAGGGGGGATCTTATGGAAACATATAAAATTATGAAGGGAATAGATAAGATAGAAGTAGAGAGGATGTTTCCACTGGCAGGTGAAGCTAGGACAAGAGGGCATAGCCTCAAGATTAGAGGGAGCAGATTTAGGACTGAACTGAGAAGGAATTTCTTCACCCAGAGGGTTGTTAATCTATGGAATTCCTTGCCCAGTGAAGTAGTTGACGCTACTTCAGTAAATGTTTTTAAAAAAAAGGTAGATTTTTTTTGAACAATAAAGGAATTAAGGGATACGGTGAGAATGCGGGTAAGTGGATCTGAGTCCACGAAAGGATCAGCCATGATCTTATTGAATGGCGGAACAGGCTCGAAGGGCCAGACGGCCTACTCCTGCTCCTAGTTCTTATGTTATGTTCTAAGTGAAGTGAATAAAGACACATAAGGATAATATTTTTTGGAGTGGGTCAACCCATGGCATACATCATTAGTTGGAGTTACAATCAAATGTTTACTTTTAAAACTATCTCCCAAAATAAGCTGGAAATATGATTTAAAACTATGCAGCAAGGACAATAAAGCATTTTGAACCTTAGTGAGCATGGAAAGCATACTAGTTATTAGAAGAGCATGTACTCAAAAGCTTTAAAATCCATAAAAATTATCCACTTTCTTTTTCTCAGAACCAAATACCTTCTTCCAAACTCCTTATTAAATAGCATCATATAGATCATCAAAATATTTCATCGGCATTCATGTCATCATCAGCCATATTTTTCCACAAATATTCATGCTCTGTGCATTGAATATCCCACATTTCTTGAATAATTTGCTGACAATCACTCTTCTGATTTCATCTTTACAATCTACCCATAAAGGATTAATAACATCAGAGGTAGTATTTTGCCTCATTTGATGAACATCTTCTCTTCTTCAATCACCTAGTTATTCCACTTTTTCTTCTGTTACCTTTGAAGTGTTTGTTTACAGATACATCCAATGGTTGATTAAAGTTGGTTAGACCACTGTGTATCACTGCAGTGCCGCCATTTTATGATCCAATCTCAGCAATAACATCATCAATAATGTATGTTATGAACATGTCCCATATGAGAAGAACATTTTCTCTATATAATCATTCTGGTTGGAAGCTCCAAACTTTTCTCAACCATATTTTGAAGCCATCTTCACTCATCCATCCTTTATCATGAATGTGAACAACTACTCCTGTTGAAAATGTTGTTTATGGAAGGTTATTTTCCTGAATATCAGCATCAATTTAATCTTTGACCTGTTGGACATTGACAATAACACAACTGTGAATCTTGTCTTTTCATAGGCTATTGTCTTCATTAATATTGTTTTCTCACCAACTTTGCTCACCACTTGACTGGCTGGCATGTCAAATGGGAGTCTCATCTATGTTCCCAATACAGGCCAATCTCTATCCCTTCTTTTGTTGATGTTTGTTATAAATCATTAAAATGCAGAAAAGCTGTTGTCAAGTTCTCCTGGGAGAATGCTATGAAGTACAAGTCTTCTATTGCAACATTTTTAATCTTCATAAGCCTGCTACTCCACTCAGGACTGACTTTGAGCTCGGCAATGCCTAATTTCCTTGCTTGGTTCAGAGCAAAGATTCAGATAGATCTTCAAAAAGCTGAGTCCATTCTGAGAATTTCAATGCATTATTTTTGCTAATTTGTTTTGCAACTGTGACCACTGGCTAGGCTTTTTACTTTTTGCACATTTATTTCTGGGCACCTGACCAAGTTGTGTAGAGAAGTTCCTCTAAACTCTAATGTTCTTCTCTAATACCTTGAATTCTCTAGCTGCTGCATAATTATTTGTCTCGTCTGCAATATCATCGACTTTAATTTTGAATTGAATTGTGTGTTATCTACCATGCTTGATACCATGCTGTCATTTTAAAGGTCAAAATGGGCAGGAACATAATGTGCATATCATGTGTTGATGTGCACAGGCATGATGAACTGACCAGCCACCTTCAATATTGTACTATTCCATGATACAATCAGGTAGGCTTGCACCAGGAAAAGTTTGAATTCAGTGGTGAGCAGACCTTAAGAACGAAGAGCCTTGAATTTTTGGTTGTAAATTAAGGATCAATGTATAAAGACGGCATATGAATAACTACCAATGTTTTGGCAAAGTCAACATTTACATGAGACTGACCATTACTCGAGTGTCTACATAGTAATAAAAGACCCAAGGCGAGTCACAGGAGCACCAGAAAACAAAGTATGACACTGAGCCACATAAGGAGATGTTAGGTCAAATGCCACTGACATGCAATGTGTAGATGAGAAATAGGATAGATGTAGATAGATACTTGGAGGACGCCATCAATAATGGTATGGAAACAAGAATCAAATACATTGCAAGTGATTCTTTGGCTATGATTGAATAGATAAGAATGGAACCAGGTGAGAGTATTCTCACCCATTTGGATAACAGTGGAGAAGTTTTGGAGGAAGATGTTGGGCAAATTCAGTCAAAGATTGCAGACATGTCAAGAGTGACAAGGAGAAAAAGGTTATTTTTGTCAGTCACATAGGATGCTAATTGAGACTTTGATAAGAACCATTTTGAAACAGTGGCAGGGACAAAAACTAATTGTAGGGATTCAAATATAGAAAGTTGAACAAACATTTGAGATGTAACAAGGATAGGAAAGGGAGGTTGGATGTGGAATGGTAGTTTGAAGGATGGTGGAACCAACATGAGATGGGGGAGGTAATGGCAGATTTAAAGGAGAGATGATAACATCTGAAGAAATAGAACAATTACAATATTGGCTAACATAGGGACTAGCAGCAAAAGATGGATGATCAGCAGCAAGTGGGAGTAGGATCAAGGGAATAGGAGGCTCCCTGGACAAGATGATCTCAGAGAAGATGTACTAAAGTTGAGAAAGTAAACAAAGATGTGCACTGAACACTCATCCTGTTGCTGGTATTTAAAAAAAAGCCCCTAGCCTACCAAATTCTGCCCATACGTCATATTATTCTTCAAGGGATGAATGTGAAAAAATAATATATTCAAGCTAACAATTCAAGGTCTAATGTACAAGATGGTACTAAAACCCTACAGGGAACTCTAGTTTAATATCATTATTCACCATACATATATACACACAGATACAAAGAAAATCACACTTCGTATTACTTAACCAATTTTTGCGCATAGATGTATAAAGTACTGTGAGGCTTTTACAAAGTAAAACGGGGTGGTGACTGATTTCTGAAGAAGGGTCGAGACCCGAAACGTAAGCTTTCCTGCTCCTCTGATGCTGCTGGGCCTGCTGTGTTCATCCAGGTCGACACCTTATTATCTCAGATTCTCCAGCATCGGCAGTTTCTACTATCTCTGGTGACTGGCTATTCATCTGTATAAACAGACAAGCACAACTGATTATGTCAACAAAAATAAAAATAAAGAACTGCAGATACTGGAAGTCTGAAACAAAAAAACAAAAAGTGCTGGAGAAACTGAGCAGGTCAGGCAGCAACAAAAACAAAGTTGCTGGAAAAGCTCAGCAAGTCTGGCAGCATCTGTGAAGGAAAAAACCGAGTCAACGTTTAGGGTCCAATGACCCTTCCTCAGGTCAGGCAGCATATGTGAAGAGAAAAAAACGGTCTGATTTTTTCACAGATGCTGCCGGACCTGCTCAGTTTCTCCAGCACTTTCTGTTTCTGTTTGTGACGATACAAACTTATGCTTCTCCCAGTAGTCCAAACATTAATTTGCCACGTCCACATCTGTGCTCAGTCAAATAATGCGCAGTCATAACTCCAAGTCCAGAGATCGACTCCCACCGAAAACGCACCAGACAATTGAACTCTTTCCTCTAAAAGAGCAACGTGAGGACAATGTTTCTGAGGAGGTTCGCGTACAGAAGGACGAGCCTCATTGCTCGTAAGCGTCTGTTTGACAGCGCTTTGCGTCGTTCCGTAGGACGCGGTGCGACTGGTCTGTTTGTGATACTGACGCCCTATCGGCAGAAAACTAAACCGAGATGGAATCTCCCAGTCTGAACCGGTTACAACCGGTTACTAGTTTTGCCAGAGAAGCTTTCGAGGTTGTTAGTAGAACACGGTCTGCTACAAAAACGCTCTCGAAACATGAATCGGAAGAGATAAAAAATCTTTCTGAAAAAAAGTAAATTAAGCATCAGGCATGGCGGTTGTTTTCATTTTTGTTAAATTGTTATAATTATTAACTCGCACAGTTTAACAAATTTGCAGAGGAGTGAGTGTTCCAAATTGTGGCTGATTAGCTCAAGTACTTTCCTTTTTTTTGCTTTTTGTGTTTGGACCAAAAGAAGCAAAAAAGGGAAGAACCAACCTTGAATGTGTGCTTGTATTTTTTTTAAATTCCCGCCATTTGAATTTTTTTCGTCTTGTCCCCTTCCCTCCCCCGTTCAACCGAACTACTGTGTGTCGGGTAAGATCTTTTTAAAAAAAAAGGTTGCTGAGTCGGTGTGAGGTGGAAGCTCGTTCATTTAGACTGAAGGAGGCTAGCAGTTTAACCAAAACAAAACCATTTTGGGTGAGTGTTAATAAGTTTTAAGATTCTTTCCGCGCTGGTGCTGCTGCCGAGGCCTGGCTGCAAACTCTAACTGTGCCGAGGGATAGGCCTGCACGACCCGAGTTTACCACACGGAGCCGCTGTGTGGGGGTTGTGCGACCACCGAAAAAGTAGCGTGGGGTTAGAGAGTCGGGCATTGGTGGGAGTGGGGTAGTAAACAGTGGCATGGGGAGTTGATTACTTTGTGTCGCTGTTTATGTAAATATTTAAATTCTACTGAGTGCGTCTGGCCACTGGGTTTTTGAGAGCTGGAGTGGAACGTTCCAGAAATAACGGCCGAGGTTTGGCTGCGGAATCACTGCACCTATCAGTCACGTGACAGTCTCGCCATGCTCCCAGCTTGAGGGAGGGGCCTCCTAGGAAGTGTCTCTAATTTAGGAAGAGTTATTACTTCGGTATGTAAATATACCGTATTTTGGTAAACAGTTTTTGGTACGGAGTTTTTAACATTGCGAATTTTCTTTAAAATACACTTGACCAATTGACAGAAGTCAAGGTTCAGGATGCTTTTTGAGAGTTAATAAGTTACAAAGCAAGCTCAATCATGCTAGTGCAATCACGTTTCAGGTAAGATGGGTAGATTTTGGGGTATTTTGAAAGCAGATTAGTATAGAAATTTCTTTAGGAGTTATAAAATGTTAATACAATGGTCTTGTAAATGTTTGAACAAATGTAAGTGAAGCAAGAAACTGGACAATGGCACGTTGTGTATATCAGCATATTTGTCTTTTTAAACTGATATTTTGCTCCATACATTAAATTTTATGAAGTTCAATTTGTATGGAAAGCCTTCATTTGACTTAAGGGGGATTTTTTTATTTGAGCTGATCCATGGTCAGGCTAAAATAAGATGTGAAGTAATGGCCAATTCAAACATTGGAGCAATTTGAAAGTTAGATGTGAGTTCATTATTTCAATAAGATAAACATTGCTGCACTTTCAATTACCAAGAATTGATGGCTTGGTGTCTAGCAGAATGTTAAATTTTCATTGTAATAGTTAGCTTGGTTTTTAGACTTTCAGAATTTCCCCCCCTCCATTCCCATTCAGGGGATCATTTTGCAGTTTGTTGTTATCTGTAATATATTTGTATTAACTCAACTTGTGCATAACTTAATTTAAAATGTGTACATTTGCCAACGTTTTTTTCCAGTTTACACCTTTTCCTGAAGATGTTGACTCGTACTGGGGGTACTGTTCCACAGCGCTGGGCATCCTCTGGTATCTTGCCCAAGTGGCTACTGTTCAGTGCCAGCCTAGACAGTGAGTGTTGGCAGGCTATTTCACTGTGGGGTATCACATCCGAACCCAGTCCTGTCCTTGCCTGACATCCACAGTGTACATTCCAGTCGGAGTCACTGCACAGTGACAGGAGTGGGAATCCTTTTGTTTTGTTTCGCTCTGTTCTCTTTTTCCCTGTTATTGTCCTGGGATAGTTGTAAAACAGGGAAGTCATGTTTAGCTTGTTTTAAACATTGTTAATACCTCTTCTGAAATCAAGTAATTCAGCAAACTGCAGATGGGAACTCTTCAAAAGAACGTTTTGTTCCTGAGTTGACCCACTTGTGCATGCCAATTTATTTTTTAAACTTTTAAGTGGACACTTATAAAAATATAGAGGAAAAAGTTAGTTGGTTGCTTGTAGGGCATCTTCCCATCCTTAACGAACTGTATCTGGTGGCCAGAAGTGACCGAATGATATTGTAGTTCAGATGGAAGAATTCTTGACTGGTGATCATCCAGTCAGTAGTCAAAGGTTCCAAGGCAGCTTGTGACTTGGAACTTGGTTCTATGTTGTGTTTAATGTCTGTATGTAAAAGTATTGCAAGATAAACTCTTGTTTATCTCGAATCTTATCTGTTCTGCCTCCGGTTTGATTGTAGGTTCGCATTCTATACAAATATGGTACATTTGAACAAGACAGTGAGTCTTGTGATACAGCTTAAAAGGATGATGATTGGCTGCGTTTTGATTTTAAGTTTAGTATTGTGGCCATTTTGGCTACTTTGTTTCTGTAATGAGATTGTGTTTGTGTTTTTTTTTCCTTTCATTGCTTTCTGACCGAAGACTATCACCTGTCTATTTGTCAATATATGATTAACTCTTTTCTTTATTTAGGAATTGCAGCAAGTTATTTCTTGCAGTAATCTATGCCAGCCATAATGACAATTTTGGCAGACCATGCAGCTCGCCAGCTGCTGGACTTCACTCAGAAGCTTGATATAAACCTTCTGGATAATGTGGTGAATTGCTTGTATCATGGAGAAGGTGCACAGGTAACTATTAAACACGGTCAATTTAAATCAAGATTTAACACAGTTAATATCAGTTTATTTTAGTAACAAATAGACATTTAGTAGTACATTTGGTTCTGCTATAACATGTTTCTTCAACTTGAAGTGATTTTAATATGATTGAAGAATTTGGACCACTATTTATAGAACATGAACTTTCTTTACCTGTAGTGGCTATAACGTGATTCCGGTCTCATTAGTTTAAGTGGCGCAGCTATTGCGTGATTTTCTTAGCTCCATTCCCATGCGATCTTGTACTGTCACGTTATATCAGATCTTGAGTTTTGCTGAAAAAAATTACTAAAACTTTGTTTTGCACTCATCAGGACAATTCACAAGAATATCTGCAATTCACATGACTGTGTGGAGTTTGCATGATTTCCCCATGATTGGACCACCTGGCAGAAAGCAAACCAATTTTCTCCCACGAACAAAGACATGAGTTAGGTGAATTGGAAATGCTAAATTGTCCGTGGCATTTAGGGATTTGTGGGCTAGGCGGATTAGCCATGGTAAATGCAAGATTATGGGGATGCAGGGTCTAGGTTTGGGTGGGGTGCTCTTTGGAGGGTTGGTGCAGACTCTGAGTCGAACAACCTCTTTTTCAGCACTATAGGAATTCTATGAATACCAGTTCATGGGAGAAATCAACACTTCTCCTGCACGAGAAGATGGAAATATGGAAAATAGGGGTAGGAGTAGCTATTCAGCCCTTCAAGCCTGCACCGCCATTCACTATGGCTGTGGCAGATCATCCAACTCCATACCTGTTCCTGGTTTCTCCAGATAGCCTTTGATCCCTTTAGTCCTAAGAACTAAATCCAGCTCTTTCTCAAAAACATTCAGTGTTTAGGCTTTCTGTAGTACAGAATTCCACAGGCTCGTCACTCTCTGAAGGAATTTTTCCTCATCTTGGTCTTAAATGGTCTACTCCATATTCTTAAACATTGACCCATGGTTCTGAACTGCCCAGTCATCAGGAATATCCTTCCTACCTTTACCTTGTCTAGTCATGTTAGAATTGAAGTTTCTGCAAGATACACCAACTAATTCTTCTAAATTCCAATTAATATTGTCCTGACTGATCCAGCTTCTCTTCATACCTCTCCTGCCATCCCAGGAATCAGAATGATTAATCTTTCATTGCACTCAGCTTAAAGCTAGGACATCCCTCCTCAAATAAGGAGACCAAAATTACACACAGTACTCCAGGGGTGAGTGGAGTTGGAGAAGTACAGCAGGTCATGCAGCATCAGAGGAGCAGGCAAGTCGACGTTTCGGGTCTGGATCCTTCATCAGCACTAGGGAGGGGGAAAGGAGCTCAGAAGTAAATAGAGAGAGGGGGTGGGGCTGGGATACAGATAGGTAGGATGGTGATAGGTGGGTGCGGTAGAGGTTGTAGAGATTGGTCAGTGGGAAGGGTGAAGCGGATAGGTGAGAAGGAAGCTGGACAGGTTGTATTAGGTCAAGGAGGTGGGGATGAGAGGGAGGGCTGGACATAGGCTGAAGCTGGGTCTGGGGAGATTTTGAAGCTGGTCAACTCTATGTTGAGGCCATTAGGCTGTAAGCTCCCAAGGCGGAATATTAGGTGTTGCTCCTCCAATTTACACGTGGCCTCATTTTGACAGTGGAGGAGGCCCAGGATGGACATGTCTCAAGGGAATGGGGTGGGGCGTGGAGTCAGTGCTACAGGTGTGGTTTCACTGAGGCTCAGTACAATTGCACCAAGACATCACTGCTTCTGTTTTTGAATCCTCTTTTCTATACAGGCCAACATACTACTTGTCACCTGCTTCTTCGCTACCTGCTTTATCTGCATGCTTGCTTTCAGCAACTGATGTACAAGAAAACCCAGGTGTTGTTTCACCTCTCCCTTTCCCAATCTATCACAGATAATCTGCGTTCCTGTTTTTTGCTACTGAAGTGGATAACTTCACATTTATCCACATTATACTTCATCTATCATGCATTTGCCCACTCACTCCACTTGTCTCAAGTTGCTCTAAAGCTTCTCTGCATTTTTCTCTCAGTTCATTCTTGCACCCAGCATTGTGTCTTTTTCAAACTTGGAGATTTCACAGTTAGTTCAGTCATCTAAATCACTTAATACATGTTGTGAATAGCTGGAGTTTTGGCACTAATCCTTCCGGTCCCCAAGTAGTCACTGCCTGCCCCTATTTAAAAAAGCCTGTTTATTCCTATTTTGTTTCCTAAGTACGAATCAGCTTTCTGTCTATGTCAGTACACAACCCCTAAACCCAGGCTGTTTACTTTAACATGCTGATTTCTTGAGATATCTTATGGAAAGTCTTTTGAATGAAAATTCAAGTAAACCATACCCACTGCTCCCTCTTACCTACTCTACTAGTTACATCCTCAAAATTCCAATAGATTCGTCAAGCATGATTCCTCTTTCATAAGTTAATGCTGACTGTATTCAGTGCCTAGGCACTGTTCCAGAGTGTATAGAATCTTGAAACATGGCCACCAATGCATCCACTATTTCTAGGGCCATTTCCTTAAGTAATCGTGTACTCTATCACTTTTCCTAACACAATTTCCCCACGAATACAGATTTCCTTCAGTTCCTCCTCTCACTTAGACCCTGTGCTCCCCAACCTTTTTGGGTTGTTATTTTTGTCCTTCTTTATGAAGTCCAAATCAAAATATATATTTAATTGGTCTGTTATCTATCTTCCCCATCATAACTTCTCCTGTTTCTGACTGTAGGGGACCTACATTTATATTGAGTAATCTTTTTCTCTTCACATACCTCTAAGATTTCGCACTCAGTTTGTATGTTCCTTGCAAGCTTGCTTTGTACCATTTTCCCCCGTTTAATCAATCCCTTAATCATCAGAATGCTGATTAGTTGGCAATAATGCCAACTAATCTCAATAGTAATGTCTCTATCAACAAAAGTCCACGTGCCAACCAGTCAGCACCGCCATGTAGTGAAGATGCTGGATTCCCTTTTTATTGGTATCCCTGTGAGTTGTTGTGATGAGTGTAAGTCAGAATCTGTCATTTTTAGCAATATATGGCAAGTGCATTTCATAATAGTTCAAAAAGAGAGAGTTTGAATAGTGTCAGAAGATTGTTTGAGAGCTAACATATTTACGTTAGCCTTTTTAAAACAAGTATTGGGAATTATAAACCAGATAGGTCAATGTTGATAATAGGAAAGACAGAAGAATCTATTTCCAACTATATAATAGAAAATCTGAGTTGTGGAGCAAAAATAATGTCAAGACTGGCATTTGTTGCTACTAAGCATTAAAATGGATGCCATCCAATCACATTTTTCTTTGCTGGGCAAAGCCGTTTAACTCCATCTCCGCCAACAGTACTAGCTCAAATTATCTGGTAATTTATCACCTTACTGTGTTCAAATAGAATACTGTATGCAATTCTACTCTCCCTGCTATAGGAAGGATGTTCTGAAACTTGAAAAGATTTGGGAACAATTTACAAGGATGTTGCCACAATTGGAGGGTTTGAGCACTAGGGAGAGGCTGAATAGGCTGGGGCTGTTTTTCCTGGAGTGTTGGAGGCTGAGGGGTGACCTTTATAGAGATTTATAAAATCAGGAGGGGCGTGGATAGGGTACATAGACAGGTCTTTTCCCCAGGGTGTGGGAGTCCAAAACTAGAGGGCATAGGTTTAGGGTGAGAGGGGATAGATTAATAGGGACCTGAGGGGCAACTTTTTCAGGCAGAGGGTGGTGTGTGTTTGGAATGAACTACAGAGGAAGTGGTGGAAGCTGGTACAATTACAAAATTTAAAGACATCTGGATGGGTATATGAATAGGAAGGCTTTCGAGGGATATGGGGCAAATGCTGGAAAATGGGACTAGATTAATTTAGAATATCTGGTCAGCACGGATGAGTTGAACTGAAGGGTCTGATTCTGTGCTGTACATCTCTATGACTCCATGACTTGAAATAGCCATGGAATGCCACTGTAAAGCTGTGATAACATTTCAAAAGTTCTAATTTGCTGTACAGTACTTAGAGGTCTCCTGAGGTTATGCTGAATATGAAGCTACAAAATAATTGTTAGAGATTTATTATCATATCTTGCTGGTTAGAAATGACCTTTATGCAAATGTAACCCCATTGTTTAAGATAGAAGAGAGAGAAAACTGGGAACTGCTAGCCTGACATCAGTAGGTTAAATACTAGAATCATTACAGGGGATGTGATTACAGGATATTTAAAAGTACCTGTCCAATTAGACAGTGTCAATATTGATTTAATGAAGGGGAATTTTTGAGAATGCTACTAGCAGAGTGGAGAAAGGAAAGCAGTTGATGTGGCATATTTGGATTCTCAGATAAAGGGAGGTTAGTTAATAGAATTAAACTGTATTTGATTGAGAGTTGCATACTAGCATAGATTGAGAATTGGTTAAAATTGAGAGAGCTGTCTCAGACTGGCCAAGCTACAGCCTAACATAGTCATGCTCAGAATTGTACCTTGCAAACAATGTTCCAGGCAGAGAGCATTCTCTGGTTGGCCAGATGTGACTGGTGGGATACCAGAAGGATCAGTTCTTAGACCCCTAGCTCTTTACAATCTACGTCAATGATTTCGTTGTGGATTGTAATGTTTCCACCAAGTTTTATAAAATCTGAAAATGAATTATGAGGGGGGTGCAGAAGCTTCAAGGGAAGTCAGGCTGAGTGATTGGGCACGAGCAAGGCAGATGAACAGTATGTGTTATTATGAGGTTGTCCATGTTGATAAGAACAAAAGGAGCGAAGTATTCTGTTCTTTTATAAAATGCAAAAGGGGCTGCAGTGGCCTAGTAATATTGTTGCTAACTCGTAATCCAGGAGCCTAGTTAATATTCAGGGGACCCGGGTTTGAATCTCACCACAGCAGATGGTGGAATTTGAATCAATAAAAATGACTGTGAAACCACTGTAGATTGTTGTAAAATCCACCTGGTTCACTAATGTCCTTTAGGGAAGGATACTGCAGTCCTTGCCTTGTCTGGCCTGCATGTGACTCCAGTCCCACAGCAGTGAGGTTGACTCTTAACTGCCCTCTGAAAAGGCGTAAAAAGCCCATTGCATCCACCACTAGAAAGGACAAAAGAAATGAAACTGGATGAACAACCTGGCATTGACTAAGGCACCAGAAAAAAACAATGGCAAACAGTCCTGTTAATTCTGCAAAGTCCTCATTAACATCTGGGGGCTGATCTCAAAATTGAGAGAGCTGTCTCAGACTGGCCAAGCTACAGCCTAACGTAGTCATACTCTCAGAATTGTACTTTTTGCAAACAATGTCCCAGATGACACTATTGCCACTTTTTGGTATATGTTCTGTCCCACTGACAGGCAGACCTAGCAAGACCCATCAACGTGGCACCATGATTCAGTGGTAGCACTGCTGCCTCACAGCGCCAGGGACACTGGTTTGATTTCACCTCGGGCGACTATCTGAGTGGAGTTTGCATGTTCTCCCAGTGTCTGCATGGGTTTCCTCCAGGTGTTCTGGTTTCCTCCCACAGTCCAAAGATGAGCAGGTTAGGTGGATTGGCCATGCTAAATTGCCCATAGTGTCCAGGGATGTGCAGGCTAGGTGGATTAGCCATGGGAAGTGCAAGGTTACAGGGATTAGGTTGTGAAGGGGTTGAGTCTTGGTGGGATGCTGTTTGGAGGGTTGGTTTGGATTTGAAGGGCCAAATGTCCTACTTCCATGCCGTAAGGATTCTGTGATTCTAAGACCGCATCACACCTACAGTCAGGAGGGAGTGGTCCCAGGAGTCCTTAACATTGACTCTGGATCCCATGAAGTCTCATGACATCACGTCTTGTCAAACCAATCAGTACTCTTTTTTTTTAACAACTTTTGGAGGTAACAGAGTGGCAAGGCTGAAAATTGTGGTGTGAACCTGATGAAATGACAAAACAAGACTGCTTGCATGCCAAACAGTCTAAACATACAGCTGGGTGTTTCCTCAATCAATGGATTAGATCTAAACTCTACAATCCTGCCACATCCTGTCCTGAAAGGTGGTAGAGAATTCAACAATTCACTGGAAGAGGAGGCTTCATAAATATCCCCATCCCCAATAATGGGGAAGCCTAACTCACGACTGCAAAAGAGGCTGAAGCGTTTGCAGCAGTCTTCAACTACAAGTGTAGACTGTATGATTCATCTCGGCCTCTGGAAGTCCCAGTCAATTCAATTCACGCTATGTGAAATCAAGGAATGGTTGGAGGCATTGGACACTAAACGCCATGGGCCTTGACAATATTGGGCAATAGCACTGGACTTGTACTTCAAAATTACTATAAGATCCCTCCTTATTCTTCTAAAGTACAGTAAATGTAGTCCTAACTGATCCAGTCTGTCTTTATACCTTAGTCTTGCCATCCCAGGAATCAGTCTAGTAAAAGTTGCACTCCTTCCATAGTCAGAACATTCATCCACAGATAAGGAGACCAAAACTGCACATAGTACTCCAGATGTTGTCTCACCAAGGCCCTGCACTACTGGGCCAAAATATCTCTGCCCCTGTACTTCAATGTTCTTGCTATGCAGGCTAAAGTGCCATTTGCTACCTTAAATACCTGCTGCAGCTGCAGATATTTTCTAATCACCCTGTTCAAATTTGTTGTTACACCTCTGAAGCAGGTAAGATTTGAGCCTGGACCTCCTGGCTCAGAAGTAGGGATACTGCTGTTGTACCATAAGAACCCCAGGTGCTGCAGCTGCATGCTCACTTGTAGTGACTGGTGTACAAGAACACCCAGGTCTCATTGCACTACCCTCTTTCCCAATTTATCACTATTCAAATAATGTCTTCCTGTTATTGCAACCAAAGTGATCAGTGACGATCACTGAACCCCAACTATCAATAACATTAACTAGAAGCTGAACTGGTCTAACCATATAAATACTGTGGCTACAAGATCAGGCCAGGTGATAGGAATCCTGCAGTGACTAATTCCCTTCCAGGTTTCCCAAATACTGTGCACTATCTTCAAGGCAGAAGTCAGGAGTGTGATGGAATATGTTATGTTTGTTTGGATGAGTCTGCTCCAGTAACTCTCAAGAATCTTGATATCATCCAGGGCGGAGTGACCTGCTTGATTGACACCACATCCACAAACATTTGTTTCCTCAACTGATGCTTTTATCACCAATGTGTGCCACCCAGCAAGTGCAATGCAGAAATTCACTAAGGCTTCATAGAAAGCATACTCCAAACCCATGACAAATGACCATCTAGAAGGACAAGGGCAGCAATTAAAATGGAATGCCGCCTCCAAGGCCCCATCCTGACTTGGAAATAGAAGTATCAGTTGCCCAGTTGGCTGGACAGTTGGTTTGCAATGGAGAGTGGTTCCAGTTCTCAAACTGACTGAGGTTACTGTGAAGGACTCTTTTCAAGTTTTCCCATTGCCTGAGTAGTGGTGACACTTGGGTTAAATCAGCACTAGTCGTTTCTCTTGAATGAGAGAGCAGCTGTCTGGTCTGGTAGGACAATGGTGGAAAAATAAAACTGCTATTCCTTCAATGCCACCAGGTCAGAACCCTGGAACTTCCCTCTTAAGGCATTGACGGTGTATCAGTGCCGAATAAATTGCAACAGCTCACCAACACCTTCGGGGAGGCAGCTAGGGGTGGGCAATAACTATTGGCTCAGCCATCATCACTGACATCCCAGACCTTAATAAAATAAATCAATGCCATACAGCAACCAGTAGCCACAATGCACATGGCCACTATAAAAAAATACAGCAAGCAATCGATCACTATTGTTAACAGACCTGTGAACATTTTGGTTAGAATTTTTGCACGTAAGTGGAGACTGGAACAAATGACCAAGTTCAGTAAAATTTCTGTTACTTGATTTTACTGGACCTCTGATTTGACAGCAAAATTTTGGTGTCACCAGTGTGTTAGTTATGTTAGGGAATGTCGTGGCAATTCCACTGGTCTCATTATCCAAATGCCCCTTATGCTGTCTGAACATAGGTTCACATCTTACCATGGCAGTTGTATGAATTTAAATTCATTCAATAAATCTGAAAATATAAAACTAGTCTCAGTAATGGTGACTATGATGGCTTATTACTTGCTGTTAAAACCATTTGGTTTCCTTGTATCCTTTAAGGAAGGGAATCTGTCACCATTACCTGGTCTTGTTCAGATGTGATTCTAGATCCACAACAATGTGGTTGACTGTCAAGTATCCCCTGAATTAGCCTAGCAGGCCATGCCATTCAAGGGCAATTAGGGATGTGTCACATGCCCATCTTACTGAAAGAGTAGAGAGTTATTTCTGAATAGCTTTTAAAAAGTCCTCATCAACAGGCCACTCAAACTGTTGTCTAGTGAAATCTGGGGGAAGATTGAATTGGCGGTTTTTGTGGCATTTTAGATGATGGATCTGTTTTCATAGGAAGATGTTTTACATATTATGAGAGCAAAGCTGCAAGATCAGTAAATGAATTACACACTCCTCTCAAACTTTCTTAATCTTGGAAACACCACTTTGCAACAAACCTGCTGTGTTTTTGGTAAGTTTGTTTATCTGCTGTGAGAAGATGCCCAAACATCCAAGTGAAATTGATAAAGGAGAAATTAAGAGTCTGCTAAACTTGAACGTTCTATGGCTGAGAGGAAAGTTTAGACTTTTGATGCTTTCCTCCCAAATTTACATTTTACCAACACATTTGGAAGTCTGTTTCACCAGGTGGATGTAACATTTGATACCCTGAATAAGTGAGGTAGACTTTCTTGACAGTAAATTAAAATTCTATCAAAGACTTTAGGTAATTCAAGGAAGTTTGTTTGGCAGTATCTTGCTCTTTTAGTCCAAGCTCCTGTTTCTGAGTCACAGAGACCCCAGCAAATGGAATTATAATTGCCTGAAAATTTATTGTTGCTTCTAAAGAAAAGTTGTTTTCAGTGCTGTGAACCTTTGCAGTGGCCTGTAATTCTTCCATGATAATTATTGCTGCCCTGACCTCCTTCAACACACAAAGGTATATGTTACCTGGCCCGGAGGATTTACTGATCCCATATTTTGCTAATTGGACATGGTTATACTGACTTTGCAACTGTGTGGAGTAACTGATAATGACTTCCTGTTATGTTACTGTTTGTTTTGTAACCTCATTCAAAAGTAATTGTAGGAATTCTCTCTTCTGATAGCAAAGAATGGCACAGGAGGTCTTAACTCATTTAAAGGAGCATCCTGATGCATGGACAAGAGTTGACACTATTCTGGAATTTTCACAAAATATGAACACCAAAGTAAGTGATATGTTGAAGAAATCTTCTAAATCTGAATCCTGAATTTGGTAAACATTGGGGAATATAATCAAATTTTAAACTGTTTTTGTATTAAGTTTGAAGGAGTTTAGATGTTTGCATAGGGGTATAGCATTTGTATGAGCGAATTTTTTTTTTTTTTAAGTACCATAGAGCTAAGGTACACTTTGTATCAGTTTCCGAACACGGAAAACTGACTATACAGATATGAAGTGAACTTGAAGTATAATTAGCTGTTGTATTGATAATATTCTGAACTACAGCAATAATTTGGATGTGTTGTTCTGAAAAATCTTCACCCTTCCTTGCCAAACAATCGAGTGGAATGTTAGCCTATTTTGGATCATGGGTTCCAATAGTTTTAATGTTTGGAAGCACAGCACCACCAATTATTGATTTTCAGGGTAATCCTTGGTGAACTAAATGACTTCTTTTAAAAATGCATTAAACATTTTGAGTTATTTCCTGAGAATAGTGCAGATGCTGGAAATTAGAGCTAAAACGCGATACTGCCAGACCTGTTGAGTATTTCCAGCATTTTCTTTTTATTTCACTTTTCTGTGACTTGCTCATGAGGATCTAGCACAAAATAGTACTTGAGATCATTTAATTTTAGATCTGTCAAATGATTTGGCAATGATTTACAAAAATTTAAAGGAATCTGCTTTATTTAACATTGTTGCAAAAGTTAAATTTGAGGTTGAATATATGCATTTAGGACTTCCTCAAAGTTCAGCCTAAATGAAATGCAGGTGTTTGCCTTGTTTTCTTGCCTGTTACGTTGCTTTGTTACTGACAGTTATTACTAATTTTTAAGCCGATTTGTCAACAGTATTTGTAAAACTCTCAAAATTGTATCTTTGTGACAAATGAGATGATTAGAGGAACAGACAAACCTGAAGGTAAAGAATTTCTTGAATACCTAAATTTAAAATCATTGCTAAATTTTATGCGCTGATATTTGGCTTTACTCAGTTTTATGCGTCACTTTATTTTTAGATTTTTATTCAAACTGTTACTATTATTTGACATTAATCATAATATTCCATTATGTTGATTGTAACAGGAAGAAAAGGGGTGTCTTCCTGTGCAACTGACACAGCTAGGCTTTGGCGGCAGGCCTCCACAAGGTCTCCCCTTTTGATTCCCTTTTACTGCATTCTGTTCATCAATTACTTTGTTTTAAAGGAAAGAGTTAGTAGATAGGGAATAAATGTGCATTATTTCTTCTGTAGGGATCAGTAGTTTTATTTATTTATTTCTGCTATTCTCTTATTCACTCACCAATAGATTTATTCTTGATGTTAAGCAACTTGACCGCATAAAAATGTTGTAACTGATGCCAAGTTACTAACAGATTTGATTGCTGATACATGATTTTGGCAGGATGACAAATTTAAAGATTCAGGTTGAGGATACAACCTGTGCAATTGAATTTAGACTAATATTATTCAAACTTCAGTGCAGTTCAAAAGCAGTTGTATCATCTTTTTTTTTCTAATTAAAATGGATATTTAAGTTTAAATCTTCATACACTGTTCCTTCAATGAACTTGGTCAAATGACTTTTCTGGATCTGTGGCTATGTTGTAGTAAATGATGCATGATGGCCCACTTCCCGCTGGGTTGCATGACTCAAATTGGTGGTGGTGTGGGGGGTGGACCATTACCTGCTATCCCATCATTCAGTATGTTAGTATGTTGCTGTGTTGTACTATACTAATCTCATGAGACCTGAAACTTAATGTTGCAGTCTTAATTTCTGCCTTCTCTTTTCTTAGAGAAACATCTAGAAAATTTTAAGTTTTGAGACTTAATAAGCATTATCTTAGCTTTTAACATAACTCGATTGTGATGAGCTAATTTTGTAATTCAAAAACATGCTTGATGCATGGTCCAGATTTTTGTTTAAAAGCTTAAGTTTAAAGAATCAAATCTATTGCTGTACTTACATTGCAATATATAACATTTGATATTTTGTTCTTGTTTCATTGTTTCACTAAACATTTGATCCCTATGGTTGAAATATGGTGTTACTTAAATTAACTGACAACTAAGATTTAAATGTTTGTGGATCCTAACTTAGTAAAGTTATCTGGGGAAATTGAGATCTCCATTGTAAATAACTCTGTGGGTTGTCTTGCTGTTCATGAAGAGCAACACCAGGTAGATAAGGGAACGCTTTGTTTACAAACTGTTGGAAACTTGAGGCTGTGGGACTTCTTTACTGTTGAGCTAAACTTGATGCATTTCTCTCTGGTGTGAGCCCTGACCAACAGCAGGACTGCTTGACAGTTTAATATTTATAGCTTTATGAAATAGCTGTAGCAATTGCATGAAATCTTAATTCTCAAGTGTAAGGTGCTGTAGTACATCAGTTTTTGCTTTAGATTACTTTTTACAATAAAGGAATGGACTTTCATTAGAAATTAGAGAAATGGCAAGCGAGCATTTTGAGAATGTGGTTGATAATGTTTTTAAATGAGTGAAAATTGATTTTTTTTTTCATTCTGCCTTATCATCTAATTACAGTACTATGCCCTGCAAATCTTGGAAAATGTAATAAAAACCAGATGGAAGATTCTGCCCAGAAATCAATGTGAAGGTAAATTACTCAAATTAGTATCTCCATTAAGATGAAAACCTCTTCCTCTCCTAACTCTTAGGGACAGGACTACACAATTTAACTGTACAATCCTGTATGTTTACTGTTCTAATAAATCATAGTTTTCGTGTGGCTCATTCCATTTACCTGCTGTAGCCCCATATTAACTGATATCAACACCTAATAATAAAAATCTGTTGATTTCAGTTTTGAAAGCTCCCAATTTTCCCAGAATCTGGGTGTTTTGGATAGTGTTGCAGATTTCAAATTTTGTCCCCTCTGCATTTCTTCCATTGGGGAATATTTTCTCTTAACGTATTGAATCCTTTAACATTTTAGCTACCTCAATCATATCGCTCTTTAATCATATACATTCAAGGGAATACTAGCCAAATCTATGCAACTATACACATCAAACCCTCTAAGTTTGATGTTATTCTAAAGAGTGTGTTATTCTCCTTGCAAGCTCAGTATGTCTTTCTTGAGGCTCATGTGGGGGCTGAACGAAGCCCTGCTAGAATTTACAATCTATACTGCCTTTTCCTGTCTTTTTGTAATGCATCCCTTTGAAGTAAAAGCAGTCTTTCGTTTAAGCTTATTGTACCAACTTTGAATGATACTTGGAGGCCTAAATCTCTCTGGTCTTCAGTAGCCTATTTACCAGACACAACATACTCATTAATGGATAGATTCTAGTTACATCTACAGAATGGATGAATTGACTGGCCAACAGTTGCCTGGATGCGCTCTCTCTCGCCCTTCTAAACATTGGAATAATTTTGCTGACTGGTGGTACAAATCCCAAATATAGAATGGTTAAAAAGAATATGGTCTAGCTAATACTTCTATATATCTTTACACTGGATGCAAACTGTGGAGTTCAGGAGATTTATCAATCCCAAGTCGCATCATTTTGCCTTAATTAACAACATTTCTATTTAGTAGAAGTTCCTTATAGTTAGTCTTTTTCAATTCAGTTGTAATTCTGTAATGGAATGAAAACTGAGAAAGATTCCTCTTCATAACAGCTATCCATTTAATCCCAAGGCTGTGCAAAGTTTTTCAGGGTCAGATAATATTGCATTGCATGAAAATTGTAACCGAAATCACTTTGCTCAGCAGTGCACTCAGCCTCTCGGCCATGCATAATGGTGCTTTTTGCTTTGAGCAACTTTGGTAATGTCAACTGAGCAGTCACCCTGACATCAGAGGAAACTGAAGAATGTACTTGTACTTGTCAAAATGGAATCAAATGAATTTTGTTTTAATTGTTCTTGATACGTGGGTGAAAGTGTCAAGACCGCACCTTGTTGGCAGTTCAGTATTGCCCTTCAAGGTGATGGTGAGCCTGAGCTGCTACTTGCTTGCTGAGGATGCTTCCATGATGTTAGGTAGGAAATCCCCTGATTTTAATCCACTGATAAAGGAACAGTGTTACGCGATTAGTTTGTTCTGTGGGTTTTTAAAACTTTAGCAGTGCCAATCTCGTTTCCGTTTCCATTTCCATTTCCATATACGTATTGGGAGTATGAACTGCATTACCTGTACTGGAAATATGTTTATTGTAATAGATTTTAAATATGTGCAAGGATGGAGTGCACTGCTTGAACTTACGTATGCTTCATGCAAGTAGGTATCATTTTTAGATATGACCTAGCTGTTATGTTGATTGTTAAGACAAAATTAACAATGAAGATCCATTGACCTAATATTCAGAATATTATAAAATGCTGTGAATATGGAATACTGTCTATTCCTTTCACCACTGAAGGTGAGCAGAAGTAATAGTTTTGCCCTTGTTTATTAACTTGTTTGTATATAATATGACTGTGACGATAATATCTCACAATATATACTTTTACGGATTGATTTCAACAAAACTGGGTACACCTGGTATGGCTCAAGACAGAACTGATTTGTATTTGGTAAAGCTGTGGGTTAGGATCTTGGTAGTTTTTAAAGGATCCATGAACACCAAGACAGGTAATTGACTTTGCCTTTAAGGATGCTGTGGGTTGACTCAGTTCCTGTGGCGTAGTTTTTAAACAGATGTCAAATGTGATAAAGTTGTTGGATTTGAATTGGCCTGAAGCTGCCCCTGCGAGCTGGAAGCTCCTACCAAAACTGGCTCTTTTTCACCATTTTGTAGTCTCACAACATCAACCAGGCAGGGGAAAAAAACTAAAGGAAGAGTTGTACAAGTGTAATAGCAGTGAGCTAAAACAATGCAGTGGAAGTGCACACTCTATTCAATCCCCTCTGTTACATAGCTGTAATAGTTGTATGTGTTGAGTTAATACCTAGGAAGAGGGGGAGAAAAGGAGAATAAAATGATCGGTTTACCCTTTTAAATAGTGTATATTTATTCAAGTAATTCACTTACTTGAATGTGCAATATTTTAGAATTTTATAGAAGTATATTTCTTCCCTGTTCTAAAGAAGAGTCATACTAGACTTGCAGTGTTAATTCTGTTTCTCTCCCCACAGCTGCTGCCCGACCTACTGAGTTTTTCCAGCATTGTTTGCTTCTCTTCCCAGCTCTAATTGGTGCTAAGCATATGAAAATAGATCACTGTTGTGTTGCAAATTAGAACTATAATATAAAGCACTTGCATGCAGCTTTTAAGAAACGGTGTGTTGGTTGGGTGTTAACATTTTCGTCTTAAAGTCAAATGTAATCACTGCTAATGAATGAACCTCCTATATCACTTATCGACTTTTTGTTCCTTTTCCATTGCATGTAGGCATTAAAAAATATGTTGTTGGGTTGATTATAAAAACTTCATCTGATCCTGTTAACATTGAGGTAAGTTTTCACTAAGTTGTATTATGTAGAGTTTCTGAATTCTGTCTATAATTGTTCACTGAGTTATTCCTTCTTTTTATTTTAGAAGGAGAAGGTTTACATTGGAAAACTAAATATGATTTTGGTTCAGGTGAGATCCAAGATGGTTTGTAAGTAGGTTCACTTAACAGTTTTTTTTAGATGTGTTTATATTTCTGGACTTTATTGCAGCAAAATAATGAAGTGTTAATTGAAAATAAACATAGTAGCTTCTTACTTTATTTCTTATTGATTTCTAATTTGTACTTCAGTATAAGGTTCTGGAGTTATACTAGGTTAAGGGGTATTGTTTGTTCAACCCCCCTTCACATTCATAACAGTTGTAAACCTAGGTTACAAATTGAGCACACCTCTTATCTTGATCATCTTACCTTTTTTATTCTGTGTACCAAGAGATATCTCGAGAATTCTTTTATTCTCTGGTACTACTGTCTCTTGAGTCTTGTGTGTTTTGACCAGGGGTTCTGTACTCTGAACATTTGAAGTTTAAGGTTTATTCTGATTGTAAATTGGTGCTTTTATTTTCCCATTTAATATTTTCAGATTGGTTCAAAACAGACACCTCTTCCCACATAGATTTGAACTTTTTTTGCCAAAATGGGAGGAAGTGGGTGGAATGTACAATTGAATAATAAGTATCCACACATTGCTGGTTGGAAACTCTCTAACCCTGACTTTACACTGTAAAAGGAAGGTTGAGCAGCAGACTGTTCTTTAATTCTGCTACATGATTTATTTGGAGTCTTGTTCACTATAGTCAGAATGGGTGTTTCCTGAAAGGTGAACTTAGTGTTGACACACTGTGTTGACCTTCAGTGAATACACTGTCTCCTAAATATGTCAAATGCAATTTTGTGATGTGCCAAAATCATTGTCAATAAATACTTGTTTTACTTATGGAATGGATTGTATTATAAGATACTGAGTGAGTAGAGATATTAGTACAAGAACTTCCAAAAAAATCCCCACTAAATTGGTTGTAGTGTTTAAATGACATTAAAGCTGACTCCTGCTGAGATTTGAGTGGAGGGCAATCATTGCAAGGGATGGCTAAGCTATGAAGCTTTTTTTAAACTACCTGTTCATGCGGATTCTGCACTTGTAGACAGACAACAGTTTGATCAGATTCATAACCTAAAGAAGATTGGTCTTTTTTATTGTCTCGATGTGCTTCAGGTTGACTGGCTGTGGTAACTGATGAAGGAAATTGTTAACTGTCTGTCTTTTCAGTACTTAATTTTGCACTTAATGTATAATTTGTGTATCATTATTTACACAGATACTCAAACAGGAGTGGCCAAAACATTGGCCCACGTTCATCAGTGACATTGTTGGTGCAAGTAGAACCAGTGAGAGCTTATGCCAGAACAACATGATTATTCTTAAATTACTGAGTGAGGAAGTGTTTGATTTTTCCAGTGGACAGATGACCCAGGTTAAAGCAAAGCATTTGAAGGACAGGTATTATTTGAACTTGTACTTTTATTTAAGTCACCCTTGGTTTAATGGTATTTTAACTTATTCCCTGTATTATTATAACTTAATTATAACTTGTTCTTTCTTTGCAGCATGTGCAATGAATTCTCTCAGATATTCCAGCTGTGCCAGTTTGTCATGGTAAATAAGTCATTTCATTTTTAAATCTGTCAGTTTTACTAACTTAGGTAGATTTCAACAAACTCTTTTGCATTGTAGGAAAACTCTCAAAATGCACCGCTTGTTCAAGCTACCTTGGAAACGTTGTTGAGATTCTTGAACTGGATTCCACTTGGATATATCTTTGAAACAAAATTGATCAGTACATTGATCTATAAGGTAAATGCATTCTTTATTTTCAGGATCTGCAGAAACCTCTTTTAAGCTAGTCTAGGCAGAAACAAATAACATACTGTTTTGTTTTTTAGTTCCTGAATGTGCCCATGTTCAGAAATGTGACTCTGAAGTGCCTGACAGAAATTGCCGGTGTGAGTGTCAGCCAGTATGAAGAACAATTTGTTACTCTGTTTACACTAACAATGATACAACTGAAACAGGTATTTTAATCCCCTCTTCTCTTTCCTCTACTCAACTTTGTGAAAGCAGTAATTTAAGTGCTGTATCCTCAATCTGTAGATATTGAATGTAGATTGTGCCAAACACTAGTATATGCAAAAAGATTACAAATGTTTGTCTTCGTGGGTTACATTGATACTTGGGGCAACGTAAAGCTTAAAGGAATGTTTTCATTAATCTTTTAACATATCTAAAGATTAAGATTTGCCTTTGTTTCCTCACTAATGGGTGAATCCAAAAAAAATTCTCTTCCTTGACTAAAAACAACTGATTTAAAAATGGCCATTTACTCCATGGCTGTAACAAACATTATTTTGACAAAATAAATGTTATAAAAAATAGTTGATCTTCGTTGCTTATGGGCAAAACAAAGCAGCTTCAATTTTGTCTTGGAAATAATGGACCAACAGTCCTGACTGTCGAGAATACATTGGGTAGCAACTGGAGTAATGTATACATGTTTAAAAGTTGAAATATAGGATTGCTGTCTGACTTGACTGCAAAATGTGTCCTTTTTACTTTTCTTACAGTCTCTGCTTTGCTTGTGCAGATTAGGTTGCCTTTCTTGCTAAAGCAAATAGCAGTTCAAGTTGGCAAAGGTGTATTTGCTTCTGGAATGCTATCAAGACAGCTTCCTGGAATAATATATTGTGGAACCAACTGGGACAAAAGTATTTTAGATGTAATGTTTGTAGGGTTCATAATTAATCTGATGTAAATTTCCTGTGGGAGAAATTAATCATAATACAATTATATTTAATTTTAAGTTAGAGTGTGAAATATGTGAGTCCCAAAAAGCCCTGATGCCAGTTACGTAGGTATGAGGAAGAGGTGGCTATGGCTGGTTGGGTAAATAGACAAAAAGATATGACTGTAAAGAAAGATTAGCAAATGTTAAATTGTTTCTTTTAAGTATGTTCACCAAAATGGGTATCTAAAGAGTGGGGAAAAGGCTTGGCCATGGCTTAATTGTAAAGTTAAGAATAATAATATATTAAAAGTGGCTTATGTTTTTTAAGTTTAAACTGATACAAGAGAAACATATAGTAATTAGCATCATAAAATGTATTGGAGAAACTTGAGCATTACAATCTGACAAATCTCATGGACTCAATGTCCCACGTCCTCAGATTATAAAAGAGGGAGTTGCTGAGATTAGTGGTTGCACTGGTCCGTTTCTCCAAAATTGGCAAAGTTGCTGAAAGGCCCAGTTGTTTTAAAGTAATTATATACAACACTGCTAATCAAGAAAGGAAGAAGAGAGAACTCCGGGAAATATAGGCCAGTTAGCCTGAAATCAAACATCAGAAATTGCTGAATCCAACTATAAGAAAGTTTGTAATCAGCTTAGAAAAGTCATAGTATGATCAGAAGCCAAGGTAATTTTACAAAGGCAAATAAATGTATTGACTAAGGTGGATAAAGGGGAGCTAGTGGATGTTGACTATGTGGGCTTTCTAAAAGATAGTTGGCTAACTATAGCAACTTGTAGTGCCTTTTTAAAAGTGCCGGAAGTGACCTATTGGCTTCACAGGAACATTTGTAAAGCAAAGAGATTCAGTGGCATGGTGGAAATGTAATTGGGCTAGTAATCCAGGTTAATGCTCTGGGATATGGGTTCGAATCCCACCTTAGCATATGGTGAAACTTGAATTCTGTAAAAATCTGGAATAAACCGCTAGCTGATATTGACCATGGTGATTGTTGTAGAAACCCACCTAGTTCACTAATGTCCTTCAGGGAAGGAAATTATCTGTCCTGACCTCCTCTGGCCAACATAATTCCAAATCCACAACAAGTGGTTGACTCTTAACTGCACTCTAGGCAATTAGGGATGGGCAATAAATGCTGGCATAACCAGCAATGCCCACATACTGAACAAATAAGGGCTATTTTAAAGGAAAAGGAGGGTATTCCAGATCTTAGAACTGAACAATTGAAGGTGATGGAGGAACAGTAATTGGAGGTGCATATTATGACTTGGGGGAATGAAGTGTGTATACTGTAGCCATATTTGCAGACAGCACAAAAATAGGTGGAAAGGCAGGTCGCAAGAGGGATGCAAATAGTTTATAAGAGACATTGACAGGTTAAGTGGGCAAAAAGTTGGACAAATGGATATAATGTTGGAAAATGCAAAGCATTTCATTTTGGAGGGGAGAACAAAAACAGAGTTTTATCTAAATGGAGAGAAACTGCCGAAAGCTACAACACAAAGGGACTTGGGTGCACTTGTGCGTGAAACACAAAGCTTGTACACAGGGTGTAACAGGTAATCAGGTAGGCGAATGAAATTGTGGCCTTTATTTCAAAAAGGTTGCAATAAAAAGTAGGCAAGCCTACTGCAACTGTACAAGGTGTTGGTGAAACTACTTCTGCAGTACTGTTAGCATTTTTGCTGCCTTATTTAAGAAAATTATTATTTCATTGCAGTAATTTCAGAGAAGGTTCACCAGGATGAGCTGGGTATGGAGGGATTGCCTTGTAGGCAAAGGCTAAACACCTTGGGATGTTACTGTATAGAAGAATGAGAGCTGATCTCAATGAAATAGCGTTTTTAAGGACCTTAATATGGTAAATGTTGAGAGGATGTTTCCCCTCGTAAGAGACCCGAGAACGAGAGGGCAGAGCCTCAGAATAAAGAGGTGCCGATTTAAAGCTGAGATGCGGAGGAATTTTGAGGGTTGAGTGTTTTTTGGAACTCTTTGCCACAGATACCTGTGGAGGCAAATTCCTTGGGTATACTTAAGGCTGAGATAGATCGTTAATCAGTAGGGGAATCAAGGAAAATGAGGTAAGTGGATGTGAGGAATGTTGAATTGGCACGGTCCTATTGAATGGTGGAGCAGGATCAAGGCCAAATGGCCTATGCCTGTCCATATTTCTTAAGGTCTTGAGAGACAGAATTGGACAAAAACAGATCCTACTGCGTGGTGAGTTGGAGGATATCGCAAAGATATGGAAGGATTTGAAATAGAGAAAAGTGAATATAAAAATGGATTTAAGCAGAAAAGAAGCTCTAATGGTGTTAAATGGCAGATCAGGATAGAGGGGTCTAATATTCTTAAAAGTTTGAAAATATAAAATAGTTGTAACATTCCCTGTATGTAGCTCCTAGACTCGCCTAAACGAAAATATATCTAAACAAGGAAGTAGTTCAGAAATGCCATTCGTAAATATAAGAAATTGTGTGGGAATACTTTTAATGTTTCAGGCTTGTGTAATTAATTGTATTTTTTTGAAGTATATGATGGGAGCTCAGCCACTGGTAATGATTTTGAAATGGAAGGGACTTTTCAGTTATGTACTTAAGCAAGGTAACATTAATGTTCTGGTTACAAAGACATGGCTGTGTGTGGATCTTCGGTACATCAGGGGAAAGATCTACTTTGGCTTCTGAAGCTAAGTGCAAGGTGCAGTAAAATTTGGTCACGTGAACTGAAAGAATAAAAATGTTATTGCAGTAAATCCAAAACAAAGTGCAACTCTGTCCTCGAAGCCCTGGGTTGTTAGTATGCAGACTTTGCTAAATAATTGCAATTTGTCAAAAGACATAGTTGAGAATTGTATCACAGCAGTAGTCAGTAATTCTCATCCTGGTGTTAATAGTCAAGTAAGTGAATTTGAAAAACAAACTTAATGCCATTTTAACAGCTTTTTATTTTGTTTTCTTTGTATTCATTTCCCACACCCTTGCCATCTTAATTGAGATCTAAATATATTTAATATAAAGCATTAAATATTAAAAAAAATATTTTATTTCAGAATGATAATTTAAAAAGATCTAACTTAAAGTGCTTCATCTGTCTCACGTGTGCCTAGCAGCACGATGGTTGTTAGTTTCAGAGCCAAAGTATCTGTCATTGGACTTTTATGGGCAGCACGGTGGCCCAGTGATTAGCACTACTGCCTCTCAGTGCCAGGGACCCAGGTTCGATTCCACCCTCGGGTGACTGTGTGGAGTTTGCATGTTCTCCCCGTGTCTGCTTGGGTTTCCTCCCACAGTCCAAAGATGTGCAGGGTAGGTAGATTGGCCATGCTAAATTGCCTGTAGTGTTCAGGGATGTTTAGTTAGGTGGGTTAGATGTGGGGAAGGGGTAGAGGAAGGAGTTGGGGTGGGATGCTCTTTGGAGGGGTGGTGTGGATTTGTTGGGCCGAATGGCCTGTTTTTAATCTGTAGGGATTCTACTCTATGAATCTGCAGTTTTATGTAAATTATATTTTATCCATAGAAGAATAATAGCCATTAGATTTGATCAGAAAGGAGCTTGTTCGTAACAGTTGAATTGTGGCTGTAGGCAATTTAATGTGGAAGTAATACTTAAGTTTTTTTTTCTTAACTTACTATTAGATGCTTCCTTTGAATACCAATATTAGAGTGGCTTATGCTAATGGAAAAGATGATGAACAGAATTTCATCCAGAATTTGAGCTTATTTCTTTGTACATTTCTGAAAGAACATGGGCAACTTATTGAAAAACGATTGAATCTAAGAGAAACACTTATGGAGGTAGGAGTTTTAGCAAATCTTTCTTTATAATGCTGTCTTAAATCATTGTGCACAACTGAGGAAAGAAAATAATTCAGTTTATATCTTTTGTATTTTCTGCAGGCTCTTCACTATATGCTGCTTGTGTCAGAAGTGGAGGAAACTGAGATATTCAAAATTTGCCTCGAGTACTGGAACCACTTGGCTTCTGAACTTTATAGGGAAAGTCCATTTTCAACACCTGCATCGCCTGTGCTTTCTGGAAGTCAACATTTTGATGTTCCTCCAAGAAGACAACTTTATTTGCCAGTGTTATCTAAGGTAAGCATTCAGCAACTGTTGATAGAAATCTGTCCTGTTCCTTCAGTACAGTTTAATCACTAGAATAAGCATTGCATTATGTTCTTTTGAGATGTACTACTGTGGAGGAAATCACACCACTTGGATTCATTGCCCTTTTGTAAATAAAATGTCTATCATTCGTTTGCTTTAATGTTCAGATTAAGATGATTTTCAATTTCATTGTAAGTGAGTGCTTATTGGAGCAACATTCTTAGTTCACTTTCATTAGAAACAGTCTTTAAAGTTGTCTGAAAATAACTGACAGCTTATTGAATTTGCTGTTTGCATATTTAAATGTTGCAGTTTAATGTGAATCATTCACTGTGACTTGATGTTCATGATGGTTGCTTGATTCGCTGTATGTATGACTGAAAATATATATATCTGTACAATATACCTGAAAGGTTCGCCTTCTAATGGTCAGTCGCATGGCTAAACCAGAAGAAGTACTTGTGGTGGAAAATGATCAAGGCGAGGTTGTACGAGAGTTCATGAAGGATACAGACTCTATCAACTTGTATAAAAATATGAGAGAAACTCTTGGTAAGGTTTTCCATTCCTCCAACTGGTATATTTATAAAGATGTCTAAAACTAAGCAAGTTGGTGGTTACAATAGCATTCCAGCATATTTCCTTGCCTGTGGACATTTTATCAACTGAAAGATCATAAGTAGGAGTAAATTCAGTGAGATCATGGCTGTTCTGATTGTGGCCTTGCCATTGCTTCCTATATAGCCCCATAAGCTCTAACTCCTTTGTTAATCAAAAATCTGCCTAACTGAGCCTTGAATGCATTTGCCCAAATGCCACTGCTTTCTGAAGATTCCAAAGTATTATCACTTGTGATAATTCAGTCTTCTTGTGACCTTCCTAACACTTGCCTATACCAGCATTCTAGCTTTTTGAAATTCATGTATTAGGGCACCCAAAACCTCTGCACCACAGATTTCTGCAGTCTCCCTTAAATAATATTCAGCCTTTCCATTGTCAAAGTGGGCAAGTTTGCATTTTGTCATTATTATACTTCATCTGCCAAATTTTTGACAACAACTTATCTATATCCCTTGCAGACTCTTCACACTTTGTTTTCCTACTGATCTTTGTCGTCAGCAAATTTAGCTGCCATAAGCTTATTCCCTTCATCCAAGTTATCAATATCCTTGTTATTTGGTCATGGTATATTGCGAACCTAATCAATGACACCAATTATTGCTTTTCCTGGATTTCCCTGGAAAAGCTGCCTCCCTGAAGAGATGTAGCCTTTGGGATGTAAGACACCGGGAGTTTTGTTGGGAAGGGAGTTCAGGATTTTAACCCAGCAACAGTGAAGGAATGGCAGTATATTTCCAAGTTAGGATGGTGAATGGCTTGAAAGGGAACTTGCGGGCCATGGTGTTCCCATGCATCTGCTGCCCTTTCCTTCTAGATAGCAGAGTTTGGGAGGTGTTGTTGTCAAAAAACCTTGTTGAATTGTTGCAGTGTGTCTTGTAGATAATACACTGTCACTGTGCGTTGGTGGTGAAGGTAATAAAATTTGAAAGTGGAACAGGTCCAGATCAAGTGAGCTGTTCTATCGGGAATAGTGTCAAACTTTGAGTGTTGGACTTGATTAGACCAGTGGAGACTATTCCATCACAATCCCAACTTGTACCTTGTAGATGGTAGACAGGATGGGAGACTGAGGTGAGTTACATACTGCAGAATTTCTAGCCTCTGACCTGCTTTTGGAGCCACAGGATTTATACAGCTGGCCCAGTTCAGTTTCTAGTCAATGGTAACTGTAAGACCATAAGGTAAAGGAGCAGGATTAGACCATTTGGCCCATCAAATGGCTTTGCCATGGCTGATACCTTTTTAAAACCCCATTCTCCAGTCTTCTCCCTGTAACAATTGATCCCCTTGCCAGTCAAGAGCCTATCTATCTGTCTAGTACACTCGGTGTTGAGTTCCACAGATTAACCCTCCTCTGAAGAAATTCCTCCTCATCTCAGTTTGAAAAGGGTCATCCCTCAACTCTGAGCCTTTGCCTTTGGGTCCTAGTCTCTCCTACAAGTGGAAACATCTTCTCCATGTCCTCTTTATCCAGGCCTCTCTGTATTCTGTAAGCTTCAATCAGATAACCCCTCATCCTTCTCAACTCCATCGAGTACAGACACAGAGTCATCAACTGCTCCTTGTGTGATGAGCTCTTCATCCCCAAGATCATTCTTTTAAACTTCCTCTGGACCCCCCCCAACACCAGCACATCTTTCCTTCGATACTGGGCCCAAACTGCTCACAATATTCTAAATTCAGTCTGAACAGAGCCTTGCACCGTCTCAGCAGTGCGTCTCTGCTCTTGTATTGTAGCTCTCTTGAAACGAATGCTAACATTGCATTTGCCTTTCTAGCTGCCAACTGAACCTGCATGTTTAACATTTAACAGCATCCTGAACTAGGATAATCAAGTCCCTTTTGCACTTCAGATTTCCAAAGCCTTTCCCCAGTTAGGAAATAGTCCCCGCCTCTTCTTCCTATCAGAGTGCATAACCTCACACTTTACCATAGTGTTTGCAACTGTTTTGCCTGCTCTCCTAGCCTAAGCAAATCCTTCTTCAGCCTTACCTCTTCCTGAACACTGCCCATCCTTCCACATATCTTTGTGTCATCTGCAAACTTGGCAACACTGCCCTCAGTTCCTTTGTCCAGATTGTTTAATTTATAACATGAATGGCTATGGTCGCAACACTGACCCCTGTAGAACTAAACTAGTCAGTGGCTACTATCCTGAAAAAGACCCCTTTTTTTTTCCTGTCTGCCTTCTGCCGGTCAGCCAATCCCCTATCCATGCCAGTACCATGCCCCTAACACCATGAGCTCTTTTATTTAGCAGACTCGTGTGCGGCTCCTTGGCAGAGGCCTTCTGGAAATCCAAATAATTGTGTCCACTTGCTCTCTTTGAGTAACCTGCTTGTAACTTCCTCCAAGGAATTCTAACAGATTTGTCAGGCTTGACTTCCCCTTGATAAAACCACGCAGGCTCAGCCCTATTTTACCATGCACTTCCAAGTACTTTGCAATCTCATCCTTAATAATGGACTCTTAAAATCTTACCAGTGACTGAGGTTAGACTAACCGGCCTATAATTTCCTGTGTTCTGCCTCCTTCTCTTAAACTGCGATGTTACATTAGCCATTTTCAGCCCTCCCTGACTCCAGTGATTCCTGAAAGATGACCATCAATACCTGCACAATCTCCTTAGCTGTCTCCTTCAGAACTCTGGGGTATAGTCCATCTGGCATGGGTGATGTATCCATGTTCAGACCTTTCAGCTTCCTTAGTGACAGTTGCTATAGTCACCTTTACCCTCGACTCGCTTGGAGTGCTGGTGTCTTCTGCTGTGAAAACTGATGCAAAGTACCTATTCTGCTCTTCTGCCATTTCTTTGTTTCCCATTACTACTTTTCTGTCATAATTTTCCAGTCATCATTGTCTGCTCTTGCCCCTCTCTTACTTTTTAGATATCCAAAAAAAAATGCATGCAATCTTTTTGTATTACAAACTAGCTTAATCTTATATTTTATCTCCACCCCTCCCTCCAGCCCCCATTGCCTTTAGAGTTATCCTCTGCTGGTTTTTAAAGACTTCTAAGTTTTTCCTCTAATGTTCAGCATGTTGTATACCTTTTCTTCTAGTTTATGCTGTCCCTGACTTTGCTTGTTAGCCATTGTTACCATGTCCTGTCCTTAGTAGGTTTCTTCTTCCTTGGATGAATTTCTGCTGTGCCTCCTGAATTGTCCCCAGAAACTACTTCATTGCTACTCCACCGTCTTCTAGGCTTCCATTCCAATTACCTGGCCAGCCCTTTTGTCGTGTCTTTGTAGTTACCATGTAGTAACTTCCTAGGGTGTTGGTAGTAAGGAATTCAGCAATGATAATGCCATTGAATACCCAGGAGCAATGGTTAGATTTGTCTTTTTCTGGAAATAGTCATTGCATGAACTTGTGAGAAAAGTATGTAACTTGACACTAATCAGCCAAGCCTGGATGTTGTCCAGGTCTTGTTAAAAATCGATGTGGTCTTTTTCAACATCAGAGGTGTGGCGACTAATGCTGAATGTTGTGCAAATATCCAGTCTTATGTTGGAGGGGCAATCATTGATGAAGTAGCTGATGAATGGTTCTAGGACACCTCTTGGAGGAATTCCTATAATGAATTCTTGGCGCTGAGACTACTGACTTCCAGCAACCACAATTGTCTTCATTTGTGCTCGGGTATGATGCCACCCAGCAGAGTTGTCCCTTAATCCCACTAATTCAGTTTTGGTAGGGCTCTTTGACATTTTCAGTCATGTGCTGTCTTGAAATGAAGGGCAGTCACTCTCACCTGACCTCTGGAGTTTACCTTTTCCTTTTTTTTGTCTATGCTTTCAATTAAGTCAGAAGCCAAGTGGCACTGGTGGAACCCAAACATTGAGCATCAGTGAGCAGGTTGTTCCTTTGCTGATTTGGTATTTTGATTGTAGATAGTTGAGTCCTCCTCGTAAATCCAGATTGAAAATGACTCTGTGGTGGATGTAATGTATATGGACTTCAATAAGGCATTCAACAAGGTTCCTCCTAGTGGACTTGTTAGCAAGGTTAGATCACGTGGAATATAGGGAGAACCAGCCATTTGAATACAGAACTGGCTCACAGGTAAGATTCAAGGGTGGTCATGAGGGTTGCTTTTCAGACTGGAGGCCTGTGACTCAACTATCTACAATCAAAATACCAAATCAGCAAAGGAACAACCTGCTCACTGATGCTCAATGTTTGGGTTCCACCAGTGCCACAAGGATTGGTGCTGGGTCCACTGCTTTTCGTTATTTATATAAATGATTTGGATATGAACACAGGCGGCCTGGTTAGTAAGTTTGCCAACGACACCACCAATTTTCGTGTCAATGGACATCCAGGAAGATTACCTCCAGAGTACAATGGGACCTTGATTAGATGGGCCGGTGGGCTGAGGAGTGGCAGGTGGAGTTTAATTTTGATAAATGTGAGGTGCTGTATTTTGGAAAGGCAAATTGGGGCAGGACTTATGCACTTAATGGTAAGGTCCTAGGGAGTGTCGCTAAACCAAGACTGCAGTTTCATAATTCCTTGTACGTGGAATTGCAGATAGACAGGATAATGAAGAAAGTGTTTGGTATGCTTGCCTTTATAGGTCAGTGTGTGGAGTATAGGAGTTGGGTGGTCATGTTGCGGCTGTACAGGACATTGGTTTGGCCACTTTTGGGATACTATAATTTGGAATTTTGGAGGAAGTAGTGGCGGCTGGTACAATTGCAACATTTAAAAGGCATCTGGATGGGTATATGAATAGGAAGGGTTTAGAGGGATATGGGCCAAAAGCTGGCAAATGGGACTAGATTAATTTAGGATATCTAGTCAGCATGGATGCTTTGGACCGAAAAGTCTGTTTCTATGCTGTCCACCTCTAAAACTCTGGCTCATTTATCCTGACTCACTGCTTCCTGTTGGTAACAAATCCCTACCCACGAGGTCTTGTGTTTTTTTTTGTGGTGCCTTTGCCACCCTTTCAGAAAGGAGAGAGAGAGAGAAAACTGAACTAATATCTAACATCAGTCATAGAATAAACACTTGAATCTATAATAAGGATGTGATAACAGGACATAATGGTAGGATTGGACAATTAATATGGATCCAAAAAATTGAAATTCTGTTTAACCAACCTGTTGGAGTTTTCTTAGGATGCAGCTTGAAGAATTGACCAGAGAGAACTAGTGAATATGATATGATAGACTTTTAGAAAGCTTTTGATAAGGTCCCATATGAGGTTAATAAGCAAAATTAGTACATGTAGAACTTGAGGGAATATATTGACATGGATTGAATACTGGTCATCAGACAGAAAACCCAGTTGGAACGAATGGATCATTTTTCTGGTTGACTTGTTAGTTGGGTACTAAAGAATTGGTGCTTAGTCCGCAGCTATTTACAATTTATAATCAAAGATTTGGGAGGGGAATTAAATTTAACACTTGGAGTTTGTGGATGACACCAAAACTAGATGGAAGTGTGAGTTAAACAAAAGTTGTAAGGACACTTAAAGTGGATTTGGAGAGGCTAGGTGAATGGGCCCAAACTCAACAAATACTGCAACATGGGGAAATGTGAGGCTTTTGACTTTAGTAGCAAAAGTAGAAGTGGTTTTTTTTTTTTTAAAATGGTCCAAAACTGAAAAAGCTTGATCCTCGGAGTTGTGTCCTTGTTCATGAGTTACTGAATATTCACGTGCAAGCATAACAAGAGCAATTGAGTATATAAGTAAAAAGATCTTACTGCAATTATATAGAGCCTCGGTTAGATGTCACCTGAAGTGTTATGTACAGTTTTGGTCTCCTTGCCTCTTCTGATTCTGCCAATTCCTTGTACCCATTATCAATTCCACAGTATCGCCCTCTAACAGACTGACACTCACGCTAGCTGAACTTTTTTTTAATATGGCTGTGAATAATTCAACTGCCATGTCTAGGTGGAGGAAAGACCACACATGCACAAAGGGGAAGCTGACAGCATTTGGAAGCAATGGACATTTTTATAACAACTATAATGGGTGGAAAAACTTCCAAATGAAATGGGAACCTGGCCATTGCTATTGTCCCTATGATATTTTTTTCACGTTTCTCAGGTGGTATCTTGGAAATTACTTGTGGAAAGAATACAGGTTTAATAACTGCAAAGTTTAGCAGAAATGAATCAGCAGAGGCTATTCACTAAGGCTGTTTGGAGTTAGATAACTAATTTAAATATTAATCCGGGAGGAGAACAAAGAGGCTTTTGGGACCAACCAGCACTGCCCCTGCCCCAGCCCCAGCCCCAGATTGAAGTACCACAAGGATATGCGAGGGAATACAAGTGGAAGCAGAGGCAGCATGGGATTGGCCATCACTTTTAAAAGCCAATGTGAAATAAAGGTGGTGCAGTATGTGCATGTGCTTAGACTAACATCACTGTATCCTACATGTGACATTTGGAGTGCATTTGTGAATGCATCCTGAATCTCGTAATTGACAGCTGTCAATGGCCCTGTCCATGCATCTAGTGTCCGTTTTTTTTTTTATCAGCTATTTTGGCATCTGGAGTAATTCCTCTTTTTTTATATATTAGTTGGAGTTCTTAACTATGACAAGGTTTAAACTCCTAAAAAGATTTTAAATGGACAGAAACTATTTTTGCTCTGTGGGGACTCTGGGATCTGTGAACATATTAGATGCAGACCAGTTGAGTAAAGTTAGAAATCACGTCCTACAGGCAAAGTCTGGTAGAAATTTGGAACTCTTCTGCAAATGGAAATCCATGCCAAGTCAGTTAATTTTGAAATTGAGGTTGATAGGTTGTTGACCATTAAAGGTACTGAGGGATATGGGAAAATATTATCTTATGTTAAACATTAGCCACAATCTCATCGAATGGTAGATTAGCACCAACAGCCTGTATGGTGTATTTCTATCCCTATATTGCTGTAAATCATTTTTGACAAAGTCTAAATTATAGACATGTATAACCACCTTCAATTGTGGGTCTGTAAGGAGAAAAACTGTTCTGGAATTTTTTTTTTGCAGTATACCTTACTCATTTGGATTATGCAGATACAGAACGTATTATGACTGACAAACTTCACAACCAGGTAAATGGTACTGAATGGTCATGGAAAAATTTGAACACCCTCTGTTGGGCTATTGGCTCAATTAGCGGCGCTATGCATGAGGAAGATGAGAAGAGATTTCTGGTGACTGTAATAAAAGTAAGTGTAATATTTCTAATGACTTTGCCTGGAAAATTGGAAGTTTTTTTTTTGAGTAACACAGTTGCATACACGTAAATAAAGTGAGTACTGCAAAATCTATTTTGAATAAATTTGCCAGATCTAATGTGTGGAGGACTAATCAGAATGCCCGGTGTATCTGAATTTATATTATTGATTGACCAGAATACTGATTCACGCGTTGGTACTTCAGTTGGTGAATGTTGGCATCAAGAGCTGGACTTGTAATATCCACAGTATGGATAATATTGAATATCTTGAAATATAGTTAGGTGGAATGTATGTTCCTGAAGTGTCAGCACTATGTTGCTTGAAAAAAGAAACAGAACTTGAGAGCAATGCCCTGTAGTATATGCAAAAAGTGTTTTGCGCAAAGACTTTGCTGATGGCATTCACTGCACAAAATGATATAGGAAAAAAACATGGATGATTTGTCATGGATGCACAAAGGAAGCAGTATGGAGGTCGGAGTCATCTAATTGGTAGTTAAAAGTCTTGACATTTACTGTATATTGAGAACAGGGATGTAGGCCCAAGGAAGACTAAATAAGAACACTATAAACAGCTTTTTTGAAACAAGGGGTTATCCATCTGTTTAGAATTACATATCATCAGTAGATAGAGGTTTTGTTTCTGGGGGCTAAATATTTGATTTTGTACCTGTAACCAGTGGTCCTGAATGCCATAGATCCATAATGAAGATTAGATTACATGTGGAAAGACTACAAAGTCATGAACATTTATTTTTAAACAAACATTGGGCAGTATATTTAAAAGCTTGAATGTAGGTCGTGCAGTGGAACTTTGAGGACTTATTCTGGATTGAACTGACTAGAGAATGTGATATCAGTGTGATAATACTACTAAATTACTCTGCAGTAATTGAATGTCTATATTGCAATGAAATTTAGAATGGAAAAAGGAGGTTTCTGTTGGTTTACACCAAAAAGTAGCCACAAGAACCTTTGCTACCCGAATTGGTTTTACGTGCATGTTAGTGGAAGCAAAAACACTGGAATCAATCTGGGAGGCTGCTAGATGGGCCACAGGTTTTTATAGAAGATTGGTTTTATATGGGCTTTATAAATTTCCTCCTATGCTTAGCTTTATGAATAATGTTAACTCATTTTGCTGTAGAGTTAACTTTCCTGCTGAAAGCTTTATAAGTACAAATGTTATAGAAGCACAATACTGGTAACGTGCATTTTATATTTGTACATACTTCTTATTATCACTGAAGAATGCATTTGTTATTCCCACCCCAAGGACCAGTGACACTTAGTCCCCAAGTTCTAGATTTCCCTCATAGCCCCAAGGTGAAACCATTATCACACCCTGAAAAAGTCCTCAGCAACTTTGTTTCAATCAGATTACCTCTGATTCTTCCAAACTAGAATAAGCACAGGCTCAACCTTTCCTCATAAGGCAAAACCCTTCATCCCAGGAGGCAGCCAAGTGAACCACCTAAGTGTTTTCAATGAACATGTATCCTTCCTTGAGCAAGGATACCAAAACCACTCTGTACTCATGGTGCTTTCTTATCAAAGCCCTGAACTGTTGTAAAAACACTTAAAATTTTACACCGTTTACAACACAGAAAGAGACTGCACATTCTGTCTTGCCTGCACCAGCTGAGAAAAATGCGTCACCCAGTCTAATCCCACTTTCCGGTTTTTAGTCCATAGAGCTGCAGGTTATAACACTTGAGATTCATATACAGGCGTCTTTTTTTAAAGGCTCAAGAGTTCTCCCTCTTTGACTTTTCAAGCAATATGTTCCAGACTTCTACCACCCTTTCAGATAAAATACTTTTCTTAATCTATCGTATGATCTTTCTGTCAATCACTTTAAATCTACACTTGCTAATCACTGACCTCTGCTAAGTATGTCCTTCTCATCTACACTGTCCAGGCCCCTTATGGTTTTGTACTTCTCAATCAGATCTCCCCTCAGCCTCCTTTTGTAAAAGGAGAAACAACCTCAGTCAACCAATTTCTCCCCCATAATTGTGTTTTTCTAGTCTTCACACCACCATTTGTGTAGATCTCTAGTCTGCATTCTGGAGTGGAATTAAGTGTAATGAGGTGACCAGAACTGCGCACAGTCCTCCAGTTTGGCCTAACTAATGATTTATATAGTTCCAGCATAACCTCCCTTCTCTTGAATATTCTGTACCTCAGCTCATAAAAGAAGGGATTGCTGATGCCACCTTAACCACCCTATTAACCTATTCTGCTACCTTCAGGTGCATATAGACACTTACTCTGAAATTCCTCATTTCCTCTCCAGTTATTAATAGTTAAACATTATCTTGCTTTGTTTGACTACTCCAAATGCATCACCTTACATTTCTGGGTTGAATTCCACCTGTGACTTTTCTGTCCACCTAAGCAGTCCACTAAGATCTTCCTGCAATCTGCAGCTAGCCGCCTCACTATCAGCCACACTGCCAATTTCTTATTGTCTGCAAAATTGATCTTCTCCATTATCCTTTGTTCCTACCACTGACACAAATTTGTATTCAGCTTGCTGCATCACCCAGCACTTTTTCAACTTGTCTGCCATGTTGGACCTTGTCAAAAGCCTTGGTAAAATCTTTATAGACCCCACAGATGCCACTAGCCTCATCAATTCTGCTTGTTACTACTCAAAAAAAAGTCAAGTTAGTCAGTCCTGGTTTTCCCATGTTAAGTCCAAGCTGACTCTCCTTGATCCTTTCTAAATGACAGTGTATGCACCCTCTCAATTGATTGCAACAATTTTCTCAGTCCTGTACTAAGTTTAGACTGGCTGACTTGTACTTTTGGGTCTGTCCCTTGCTTCCTTTTTAAACAAAGGTGCAATGTTAGTTCTCCAAGTCTCTGACACAGCACCAAGTCTGTTGAGGATTGGAAAATGGTTAGACCTTTCACTATTTCCTCCCTAACTTCTTTTAACAGTCTGGAGTACATTGCATTCGAACATCATGATTTACTACTTTTAATGTGTGCTCGTCCCACTCATTCTTCTTCTTGTCCAACTTTTATTGCATTGAATACTTCACACTCTTCCAGAACTGAAAACTAATGCATCGTCCCACTCTTTGTGAAGACAGAAGCAAAACTTTTCACTAAGAGCTGTACAACATCATCTGCCTCTTTACAAAGGTTACTTTTTTGGACTTTTGTGTGCTGTTCCTTTCGTTCTCCTGTATTCTGATTTTACCTTAGATTTGCTTGCCAATATCTTCCTGTCTTTTTTTGTTTGCTACCTTAATTTGCTCTTTGATTTTACCTCTCCATACTCTATACTTGCAACATTTTTTTATTATCAAGTTCTCTGTGGTAAACATACATTTTCTTTCTGTCTTTAAATTTCTTCACATCTGGGGGTCTCTAGATTTGGCCATCTCACCCATTTTTCTGAGAGTGTGTTCACAATTAATACTTTGAGTGTGAATTCCTTGTGTGCCTGTCACTGCTGTAACACTGATTTACCTTCAAATAGCTGTTACCACTCAACTTTTGCTAAATCATTCAGCTTAGTAAAATTAGTGTCGCCCTAATTTTGAACTCTATCTCCTGTTCTATCTTTGCCCTTTTCTGTAGTTATGTTAAAGCTATCTGGATTGTGAGGACAACAACCAAAATACTCTCCCACTGGCACACTTTTGACCTGCTCAACGTCATTTCCTAAAATTAAGTCCAGAGCTACACCTTCTCTTAAATAAAATAAAGAAGTGCGGGTGCTGAAGATCTCAAATGAAAGACAGAAATTGCTGGAGAAACTCGGCACGCCTGGACAGAAAGCAAAGTTAACATTTTTGAGAACAGTGACCCTTCAGAACTTTCTGCATCTCCTTTTGTTGGTCTTACCACATGCTAAATAAATTCTCCTGAATGCACACCAAGAAATGTGCTCTGTCAGTTCCTTTCAAACTAAAATAATCTTAGTCAGTAGCGGGGTACTTAAAATCCTACTGTTTTTGCACTTCTCCAAGATTCACGTAGGTATTTACTCTTCTATCTGCCTCTGACTGTGGAGGTTTGTAGTACATTCTCAAGTGTGACTGCCCCTATTTTTTTCCCTTCGTGAAATGTAAAGTTACCATAGTCCCAGAGGGTCGTAGGGCTGCTCTGTCCTCAGATGATTGTGGGTAAGATTAACCTGAGAGTCACCATGCCAAGGTGAGGGGCAAAGTTGAGAAAGTAGAACCTTTTATGGTAACCACAGCTAGTGTGGGAATTGAACCCGCAATGTTTTGTCATTGCGTCTCTGCAAACCAGCTATACAGCCAACTGAGCCCATTGTTTCAGTTAGTTCCTTTAATTCAATCCATATAGACTAATTTATTCCATCTTGCGTACTACTCCTTCTGATAATTATAATGGTTCCTTTGATCAAAACCCATTCCTTTCTTATCCCCTGTCTCGCTTATCTGAAAATCCTTTAATCAGGAGCTGTCATTCTTGTCCCTCCTTAAGTCAAGTTTCTGTAATACTTGTGACAACATACTGCAGCGTTTCTATCTGCCCTCAACTTGGCTATTGTATTTACTATACTCCTTGCATTGAAGTATATACCTTTTTGAATAGTACCAAACATTTTCAAAAAAAATTTCTAACCTTTCTACCATCTACATTCAGACTCGTACTCTCTTTTTTTATGTCTTCCATTTTCACTTGACTTTGTTCCAGTTGAATCTGACTACAGGTGCCTTTTCTCCTGCCAAATGTCCCTATTTTAACACTCCATCCACCTCAATAAAGATCTCTATTCTATTTCACTTCATAATCACTTCCAAATTGTTTTAAACAAAAAATAGGAATTGCTGGAAAAGCTTAGCAGGTTTGGCAGCATCTGTGGAGACAAATGAGAGTTAACATTTTAGGTTGAGTGAACTTTCCTCAGAACCCTGACCTTTACTCAATCCGAAACATTAACGCTTGTTTCTCTCCACAGGTGCTGCCAGACCTGCTGAGCTTTTCCAGCAATTTCTATTTTTGTCTCTGATATACAGCATCTGCAGTTCTTTTGGTTTTTCTTTTGGTCCAAATTGTTCTATCTGTGTCCTAACTTGGTGATTTCATGTACAAGGACAATTATAACAAAAGCAATTCTAAGGAGAAAATAATTAAATTTACTATTTCTCCTTCAGCCTTCATTCCAATGATCAACTCAACATTTTTAAAACAATCTTAGTTAACAGTAAGGGTATATTAGACAGCACCTACAAACCTATAATCACTTCCATCTAGAGGGACAAGGGCAACAAATACATGTGAGCACCTGCAAGTCACTTAGTGTTCGGACTTGAAAATATATTGTTGTACCTTTTCTGGCTGGGTCAAAATCCTGAAACACTCTCCCTGTCAGCATTGTGGGGGTCTTCAGCAAATGAACTGCAGTGTTTTCAAGAAGACAACCTCACTACCATCTTCTCAAGGGGATCTAGAGATGGGCACAAATGCTGGCTCAGTCAGCGACGTCCAGATCCCATGAATAAATGAAAACAATTAGAAGACAGTGGTTTCTAACATCCTATCTGGTGATAGAAAAAGGTTGTTAATTGCTGCATATATACCGTTTACTTTTCTCTCGCAAACAAGTTTTTGAATTTAGTGCCTAAATCCTCACGGATTTTCTGTTTGGATTCAAATTGTAATATTTATTCTCTTAACTTCGCAGGATCTTTTAGGACTGTGTGAGCAGAAAAGGGGTAAAGACAACAAAGCCATTATTGCTTCCAATATCATGTATATTGTGGGTCAGTACCCACGTTTCTTGAGAGCTCACTGGAAGTTTTTAAAGACTGTTGTTAACAAACTCTTTGAATTTATGCATGGTAAGTTTGTTACATTGGAAAAGGAAGAAACACCAGTTTTTTTTTAAAAAGTGCATATATAAAAGAAATTTCCTGCAGCTATATGATGAACTCTCTAATTCCATCTGAATCATTAATTTTACAATTGGATTCACAGTATTGTTTGAAGATGTAGATTAAGGGAACAATCTGTTTATTGTGAAATATGTAGTTTCTATTTGTGCACTATTTGAAAGTAAGAAAAATTTTTTTTTTTCCATTTTGCAAGAGGAGTGGATTATTTGCCTTGACTGATGAGGTCCTTTCACAAGTAAACCAGTCTGTCTGGCATTGTCATTTTTTAAAAACTAAAGCAGATCTAGAAGCATTGTAAATTTGAACAGGTGAAGGCTAATCCCCCATGGCTGATTATCCAACTCTATACCCTGTTCCTGCTTTCTCCATGTACGTTTTGATCCCTTTAGCCGTAAGAACTATTATCTAACTGCCCCCTCATAAACGTTCACTGTTTTGACCTCAGCTACTTTCTATGACAGAATTTCACCGGCTTTCCGCTCTCTGGGTGAAGAAATTTCTCTGCTTCGCAGTCTAAAAGGCCTGCCCTATATTCTTAAACTGTGCCCCCGGTTCTGGGCTCAGTGGTTGTTCGGAACATCTTTCCTGCATTTACACTGTCTAGTTCTGTTAAAATGTTGTTTCTATATGATCTTTCCTCCTCCACCACCACCACCACCATCCTCCACCCCAACCCCCACCATTCTTCTACACTCTAGTCATCATGTAGTCTCCACTGAACTAATCTCTTTTCATACCTCAGTCCTGCCATTTCAGGAATCTGAGGAAAGATCACTGGACCTTAAATGTTAACCCTGTTTTCTTTCCACAGATGCTGCCAGATCTGCTGAGCTTTTCCAGCAATTACTATTCTTGCTTCAGTAAACTGCTCAATAGACAGATGGGTTCTTGATTTAACAGCTCCTGCGATGATGTGATACTCTTTCATTAGTCTTAAGCTAAAAGTTAACTTCTATAACATCGTCATGCCCAAGAGTAGGACTTGAAACAACAACTTTTTTTGGTTTTGAGATGACACTAATCTTGGCAAGGTGACATTGCATGAGCTTCATCTGCTCCTGATGTAGTATTGTAGCTTTTTTACTAAGGCAGTATAAGAATGATCTGTTGTTCCTGAATAAATTGCATTTGAATTTTGAGACTCAAGCATTTTTATGGCAAAAAAAACTTGGGTCAGACAGTGAGTTTTTTAAAAGTATGTTCATTTTGATTTACGAATTTAGAAACCCATGATGGAGTTCAAGATATGGCTTGTGATACTTTCATTAAAATTGCACAAAAATGTCGTCGCCACTTTGTTCAGGTCCAAGTTGGTGAAGTAATGCCATTCATCGATGAGATCCTGAATAATATAAATACTATAATCTGTGATCTTCAGCCACAGCAGGTAAGGTTACTTATTGGTTTGAAAAAAAAATTTAGATACTTTGACAGTTTATAAAAATGCCGATTGAAAGGCAAACATGCAAATGATTTTGATTTCCTTTTTAGAATACTTTGGTTTAATAATATTTTTAAAGTTTATACTTTCATGGTCAATAGGTTCACACATTTTATGAAGCGGTTGGCTATATGATAGGTGCTCAGACTGACCAGGCTGTTCAAGAACATTTAATAGAAAAATATATGATGCTTCCAAATCAGGTCTGGGACAGTATAATTCAGCAGGCAACTAAAGTAAGTAATGGTGTTTTTGTTTTAAATATTGGAAAGTTTAAATGCTCATTTAGTTTCTTAAATTATAAGTGTACTTTATTCTTGCCATGAAAGTGTGATTCTTGACATTCAGTAGTATTTTTAAACCAGAGTAATTGGAACAGCATACTTGATGTTGCACCTTTCAAGGGAATATTCACCTGCACCCCTAGGTGTCTTTGTTTCGCAACACTCCCCAGGGCCCTACCATTATACTTTATATAAATGTTTCCTCTTCACCCATGCCCTTGCTGATTTTTCCTCTTTTAGTTGCATTTATTGAACTTTCCTCGTGATTCCCTGAATAACAATTTTTATTTTAAGGCATGAATTTTGCAGAAAAAAGCTTACCGTAAGAGACAGTCGATTGAATTTTGTAGTGATCTTGTTACAGGATTTTTAAAAACTTTGTCCCCTACCTAATTTTATGGAGACTGGAAAGAAGACAGCAAAAAAAAGTGCAATTAGAATCACTAAAACAATAAAGACTGGGATTAATTTTTTTTGTATCCGCCTGTACTGAATTATCTTGTGCAGAAATCACGAATTTCTAGACTTTCAAGCATCAACCGTGATTTACTTTGGTAAACTAATTCTCATCAGTGTGGTCTATTTGCCATTACTGATGTCTTCATGGAAGTGATGCACACAATGGGTGGCATGGTGGCTCACTGGTCAGCACTGCTGCCTCATAGTGCCAGGGACCCAATTCTATCCTTGGGTCACTATCTGTGTGGAGTTTGCATGTTCTCCCAGTGTCTGCATGGGTTTCTGCCAGGTGCTTCACTTTCCTCCCACAGTCCAAAGACTGCTTTGTGAATAAAGAAGGTATTGTCAGTAAGTTTGCAGATGACACCAAAGTTGGTGGTGTAGTGGATAGTGAAGAAGGCTATCTCAAGAGTACGAGACCAAGGATTGGCAAATGGGGTTTAGTTTAGATAAATGTGAGGTGTTGCATTTTGGTAAGGCAAACCAGGGCAGGACTTGTACTATTAATGGTAGGGCCCTGGGAAGTGTTGCCAAACAAAGACACCTAGGGGTACAGGTGAATATTCCCTTGAAAGTTGCATTGCAGATAGATAGGGTGGTGAAGAGGGCTTTTGGCACGCTTGCCTTTATTGGTCAGTGCATTGAGTGTTGGAGTTGGGACATCATGTTGTGGCTGTACAGAACATTGGTGAGGCCATTTAGTGTTTATTCCATTCAGTCGTCGGATGTGGGTTTCACTGGCATTTGTTGCCCATCCCTAATTACCCTTGAATTGGAATGGCTCACCATACCATTTCAGACAGTAGTTGAGGCATCCATGTTGCTTTGGTCTTGATTTGCATGTAGCAGATTTCTTTCCCTGAAGAACATTAATGAACCAAATGAGTTTTTACAATGTGTGGTAGTTTTACAGTCATCGTTATGGAAACTAGCTTCATATTCCAGATTTATTCATTGAACAGTATGCTGTAAGGAGAAAATAAGTTCTAAAGAATATATTAACATTCAGACTAATTCTGTTTTGAAATTGTTTTATGAGCATTGTGTTTATTATGTAGAAACTTTTATGTATACTCAACCTTATTTAAATCCTCTAATTTTGTTCTGTGTGTATTGCAATGATGAT